GTCGCTGAGGGAATACATCAACTTAGTGCTGTGGATCGCCGGATCGGCTTTCACCGTGGATGAAGCCCGAGGTCGTCACATGTGCTTGCCGCTCCTTCGTCGGATCCGCTGGCCGCGCCGTTCTCGACCCCGCCGCCTCTGCTCACTCTAGCCCGGCTTTTTCAGACCGATGAGCTTTGTAAAAATCGACGCGTTTCAAAAAGGCGGGGCATAGAGGAGAAACAATAATGTACAGTATGTGGAAAATAATGTTTTTTTAACTTTAAACCGCATAAACACATTTCATTACACCAAATACACAAAATAATGTTATTTTTAGCAGCATCATATGACCCCTTTAAATGTTGATAATAAACGAGGAAAAAGTCAACAAGCTTCAGTTTACCTCTGTATATATAGCACTTTCCTGCAGTGTTTCCAGCTCTTTAGCTTGACCAGGTTTATAGAAGCCAAACCACTGATAAAGACAATTAAATTAGTAATGATCAGTCCTCTTCTAGTTCAATAAAAGAGAGATTTCATACTGCTGATGTACCTCAGAATCCACAGGATCTACCATAGTGTCCTGCAGGAACTTAACCATGACAAACTTATTCAGAGACATGAGATTCTTCTTGTAGGTCTCATTCACCACCTGACAGAAATAACATTCATTCACACCACATGCACAAATATAAATATTTTTAAGAATAATTTTTCCCTTATCCTGAGACTTACCCACTCCTGATTGATGTCAGCAAGGAAGAGGCTGTGCTTTTTATACAAATCATCGAGGGGATCGTGCCAGTATTGTGCCTGCACCAAGCTAAAATAAAATGACAATCAATTTGTTTGACTAGTGAATGTTCATATTAACTGTCACTGTGTTTCTGAAATCATGAAATGCCTACTGAGAAGCCTAAAGCAGCCAAGCACGCACTGTTTTTGAATTGCATCGGTGTAGGCTCCTGAGTTTAGCATCTTGCGAATCCAGTCACAGATATGAGAGCTCTCACCAGGGCAATGTGGAAGACCAAATACTCCTGTGATTTACAAAAATAAATTAAAAAAAAAAAGAAGAAGAGAGAATCACGTCTGACAAACAAGGCATGTTAAAAAAAGATGTTTGAATCATGTGGGTTTAGTCACTCAAGATTTAGGTAAATAAAGCATAAATAAAACATAAATATAATTATTTTATTTATTGATAACATTTTATTAATATTTATTAATGAATGTGATTATTTTCCCTATCGTTCAAAAACATTTAAAAAAAATTACAGAATCTTAACGAATGGTAGTGTATAATCTTACATGCTATAATAGATTGTGACTGCAAATGTTATAACCTCAAAATATTCTAAGTAACTTTATATTTACTCAATAATTCAAAATGGTTGCATTTCCTGAAGCAATATGACTTGTGAAATCAAAACAGGGTTGTTGTGCCACAGTGTTCTTGTGAACTGCTAACCACTTTTAGGAACAAATGTATTGCTGTTTTCAGGAAGTAAATCAATCAGAGTGAGCAGAGCACATCTGTCATATTACCCTGATGCTGTCCACCAACTGAGATGAGGTTCTTCATTGGGGGATCTGGACAACGCTGTACAACCGCTCGCCTTACGATACATTAAACAAGATAGAAAAGTAAAAAGACATGATTAAACTTTTGATAATCCCTTGGATGGATTGGTCTGAATAAATAACCACTCACAGAAACTGTGACCCTTGGGAGAAGCCCATTGCATTGTAGCCTCCCTTCAGTTTAGGGTCCTGAGCCAGCTGATCACATACAAAAGACACCTGCTCATTAACATCCATGAAGAAGCTATTTTCAGTGTCCTGTAAAAAATAAATAATTAAAAAAAAAAAAACTGAATCTGACCTTTTTATTTGAAATAACAACAGGAATGAGAAGAATGGAGGATGTGGACCTGCTTTACCTGTACAACAGACTTGCCGATCATCAGGGAAAGCACATATATTCCTAGGACTTCCTCTTCTACCATCTTCTTCATTGCACCCATGCTCAGGGGATTGCAACAACTGTCTCCTGCAAAAAGATGAATAAATAAGTGATAATTAGCAATTGTCTAATTATCTTTATCGCAAACTCAGTAGGTCAATCAGTGGGTGTGTTTCTGTTGGTGAACATGTTTCTAGGTCATTTCACAACAATGGTGCCTTTTCCATTTATATTCCACTACAAGGTGTAATATAAATAATATGCAGTTTTCAATCATAAGTTGTGTACTTCAGAAGGTCATGATACTGAAAACATGTTGGATTAAATGGAAAAAATTAGGAGCAATTTTATTTTATGGAATTGCTTATAAGCGGAGTAATGTGGTGTACAAATTAAATGTCAAATTAATTTTATTATATATATATATATATATATATATATATATATAT